CATCTTCATACCCAGTAAGGTTCTATAAGGTCTGCCAATTCCTATAATAACCTCCTAGTAAGATTTCTTAAATGTAAGAAATCTTAAGACCTTATTCTGCATTTTTGCAACAGGAAAACCAAAAACCAAACTCACTGCCGTCGAGTTGATTCCGATTCATAGCGACCCCTCCTTGGGTTTCCAAGGTGTTATCTCTACGGAAGTAGATTGCCCAGTCTTCCTTCCGAGGAGTGGCTGGTGGATTTAAACCACCAGCCTTCTGGTTAGCAGTCAAGTGCCTTAGGCACTATGCCACCAGAGGGAAAAAATGAATATTTGTAGTATTTATCCATTCATGGGGCAAGCATCAGAAATCAACCAAAAGTGGAAAATCTACTTAAACCAAATTGTGTTAACCTTTCACTAACACTTCAAAGATATTCTTGGGCTATCATTTCTATCAAATGCTCTTCTTATTAATCTCTAATTCCTTTTCTAGTTCAAATATTTATTTATTTGTTTGTTTGTTTGTTTGTTTGTTTGTTTATCTCAGCTATTCCTTACTGTGGCAGCAAATGAGTTTTTTCTTCTCATGTTTAAGAAGTTCCTAACTGATATTTGGTAAATGCAGGCCAAGTCTTACCCTTCCCTTCCCAATTTGCTATTCCACTTCATCGTCCTATATTTTCCACATTCAACCAATTAAAACAGCATATCCATACTTCTTCTTACCAAAATGAAGTAACCAAAATCTAATTTATCCTCTTGACTGAAACAACCATACAAAAGTTTATATATATTTTATATACCAAATATATATTGTTGTTGTTGTTAGGTGCTATTGAATTGTTTCCGATTCAATAGACAACAGGACAAAAAACTGCCTGATCCTGCACCATCCTCACAATCATTGCTTTGTTTGAGCCCATTGTGGCAGCCATTGTGTCAATCATCTCATTGAGAATCTTTCCCCTTTTTTGCTAACACTCTACTTTACCAAGCATGGTAAACTTCTCCAAGGACTAGTTCTCCTGATAACATGTCCAAAGTACATAAGATGAAGTCTTCCCATCCTCACTTCCAAGGATTATTCTGGCTGTACTTCTTCCAAGACAGAATTGTTCTTTCTTTTGGAAGTCCATGGTATATTCAATATTCCTTGCCAACATCATATTTCAAAGGCACCAATTCTTCTTTGGTCTTCCTTATTCATGTCCAGCTTTTGCATGCATATGAGGTAATTCACAATACCATGGCTTGGGTCAGGCACACCTTGTTCTCACAGTAACATCTTTGCTCTTTAGTACTTTAAAAAGATCTTTTGCAGCAGATTTGCCTAACCAATATGTCATTTGATTCCTTGACTGCTGCTTCCATGCTTGTTGATTGTGGATCCAAGAAAAATTAAATCCTTGACAACTTCGATCTTTCTGTCATTTACCATGATGTTGCTTACTGGTCCAGCTAAGGGGGTTGTTGGTTCCTTTAAGTTAAGGTGCAATTTATACTGAAGGCTATAACCTTTCATCTTCATCAGTAAGTGCTTCAAGTATTCTTCACTTTCAGCAAGCAAAGTTGTGTCATCTTCATATTGCTGGTTGTTAATGAGTTTTCCTCCAAATATGATACCACATTCTTCTTCATATAATCCAGCTTCTCTGATTATTTGCTCAGCATGCAGACTGAGTAAGTATGGTGAAAGGATACAATATTGATACACACCTTTCCTGATTTTAAAGCATGCAGTATTCCCTTGTTCTGTTTGAGTTACTGACTCTTGGTCTATGTTAAGTTTCCTAATGAGCACAATTAATTGTTCTGGAATTCCCATTCTTTGCAATGTTATCCATAATTTGTTAAGATCAACACAGTTGAATGTTTCTACATACTCAATAAACATCTTTCTGATGTTCTTTGCTTTCAGCCAAGATCCATCTGAAGTCAGCAATGATATCCTTCATTCCATGTTCTCCTTCGAATCTGTCTTAGATTTCTGGAAGTTCTCTTTGTTTGTACTACAATTGTTTGATTATTTTTAATTATCTTCAGTAAAACTCTACTTTTGTGAGATATTATTGATATTGTCCCATAATTTCTACATTCTGTTGGATTGAATCAACTTTGTTTGAAATGGATATATATACATATTTATTTCAAAACACTAGACATCAAAAGATGTCTGATGACATCAAGCAGAGTTATCTTGAGAGATGAGAAACAAACAAGATGATTCCTACATTTGCCCCAGCTTACTGTCTTTGATAGGGTTTCCAAACTGTTCTAGAGGAAGGGAAACATAGAACATGCAGACTTTCTGAATTGAGGAGTCTAATCTGAAAACCAAGGGAGACCAAGGTGGCTAGAGATCACAGGACACAGTACTGGAGGAAAGTTAGCAACTCAGAAAAGAAAACCCAGGAGATCTGCAAAGGTTGCTCCTCAAGTGTTCAGCAGAAAATTGATCATCACATACATATATGGAAATTACCTAGGGGAAGAACCATCAGAAAGGATTAAAGATAATAGTAAATGCCATTTACACAGAGGTGGATGGGTTTTCAAGGCTGTAAATCTTTATGGAAATAGATTGTGCCATCTTCCTTCTGTGAATGGGTTTGAACTACTGACCTCTGGTTAACAGCCAAATGCCTTATCTACTACACCACCAGAGCTCATTGTTGTATCACTAAACCAACCAAAAAATGGGAGATCTGGTGACATATTCCCTAAGGTACTTGACTGCTAACCAGAAGACTGGTTGTTCAAACCCACTAGCCATTCCTCAGAAGGAAGATTGGGCAGTCTACTTCCGTAGTAATACTGCCTCAGAAACCCAAGGAGGAGTAGCTATGAGTGTTGTATCACTAATCATTGTTTAATAGAAACCATAAAAACATTATATTGGAGTTTTTGTTCAATAGACTGGCTGCTTAGAATTTTTATTTAAAACATTTTCTTTAGCCACCTGCACAACCAAAGTGAGAAGAATAAATGTATTCCTCTAATTCTGAAGCTATGTTGTTGTTGTTGTGTGCCATCGAGTCGGACCCTACTCATAGTGAGCCCTCCTTGGATTTCTGAGGCAGTATCACTATGGAAGTAGATTGCCCCATCTTCCTTCCGAGGAGT